CGAACTGCAACAAAGAAGTATAGCACTATTAACGATTACACACGAGAACCTCACCATTCCTTTGATTTTTGATTACGGGACAATTAGAAGACCAAGAGAAACAGCACATTTTCCCCATTAGAATACTCTAAGTTGCCCCCCCCCCCAAGCCTCAAGCTCAATTGTCCCACTGAAGGGAGCTGAGCCTGCTCAGTGTTCTTGTGGACTTATGAGGGATAACATTACGCAGTAAAACAATCAGAAAAAGGGGGTGTGGTTCACTAGGACAGAAAGCGACTTTTTCGCGTTTCGCAGCGCGAAACATTTTTCGCTGCGGGAACCTCAGGTCCACCGCTGATCATCAGTGGACCTGAGGTTCCCGCAGCGAAAAATGTTTCGCGCTGCGAAACGCGAAAAAGTCGCTTTCTGTGTCCTAGTGAACCACACCCTCCCTACGTTCTCTTCGATACTTTTATTTCCGTTTTTCTTGATTGTTTTACTGCGTAATGTTATCCCTCATAAGTCCACAAGAACACTGAGCAGGCTCAGCTCCCTTCAAATGGGACAATTGAGCTTGAGGCTTGGGGGGGGGACAACTTAGAGTCATCTAAATGGGGAAGATGTGCTGTTTCTCTTGGTCTTCTAATTGTCCCGTAATCAAAAATCAAAGGAATGGTGAGGTTCTGGTGTGTAATCGTTAATAGTGCTGTTACTTCTTTGTTGCAGTTCGCTGGTGCCATTTATTTCTGTGTCATCAAATGGCGAAAAGGCCTGTTGTATCTGAAAATCAAGCAAACAGAGGAAGGAAAAGGGCAAGAAGAGGAAGCGGAGGAATTCCGGAAGTGACTGGTGCGTACGTCTTCAATTTTGTGTCAACCCGGTTCAAACCGCGGCTCTTCTTTGATGGCTGGCGCTTATGGTCGAAACCGCTAACTTGCCGTGCTTGTGTGTATGTGTTGCACACACCTCGGCGTCTGAAATAGAATGCCTATGGGGGTGTGGTCCGCAAGGCACGAAACGGCATTTCCGCTTTTTGCAGCGCGAAACTTTACTGCGAGAGCCCCAGGTCAACTTCTGTCCAGTGGTGGACCTGGAGTCCCGCAGCGAAAAATTCTGTGCTGTGAAAGTACTGTGAAAGGTTCAAAAGTAGCTTTCTGTCCTAGCGAACCGCACCCTACCCACGCTTGACGCAGCGACTTTTGCCCCCTTCCCCGCACCTGTCTCAGCGCCGTATCCTTTTCTTCTCGCCTACGAGCTTACTAGCCCAATAGCCTAGCAGCCGGCTCACCTAGTAGGGGTGTGTATCAAGTGGTACGAATGGAAATTTCAGCACCTAATTAGTGCTGCCTTGCGACTAGGCGCTAGTGTTCTGTGGGCGAGATGCGCCGTACATGTCCAGTAATGGTGTGAAAGATTAGCCAACAACGGTTTCGAAGGGAGAAAGGTGATTCCAGATAAAATGTAATTATTCATTTATCATTGTTAGTTTTTAATCTTCTGGTCCTTCCTGCTAAACTTCAACGGATCTCAAAAAAATAGTCATGCGCGTTCAAAGAGAGACATCACTCTAGAAAGAAAATTGCCATTTCTTCCCATGTTTTTTAATCTTCTCTCCCTGTGCTCTCAACGCGCTCGCGTTCTCTGGATCCTAGAAGAAACTCAAACGAATGGTATGGGGTTGGTCTTAAGGGTTGCATTTCTGTGATGCTTACACCCTTAAGATCTTTGAGGGCAGCTCGAGCTTCATAAGTAAGCTTTTTCTGGACATCTATCAAAACACTTAGAGGCGGGGTGATCCACGCCGGTCAATACTCCTAATCGCCAGAAAAGTATTTCCAATTCTTCCGTATATGACGACTTGGCTTTTCCGTACCTGTGAAAGGCTTCCGCTAAGTTAGTAGTCCTCAATTCCTTAACACCCCACTTGCACCAAATATCTTTGAACGGCCCGCTAAGCCAATCAGTCCTCACGCAGTCAAGGAAAGGAAAACATTTCTGAGTCATTTGTGAGGTTTGAGAGGTCTGCTTCTTTAATTAGCTAGCCGAACGGTAGTTATTGACTTTCAGAAATATTTTTTGTAATTCACTTTTTCCATAAATTGATCTGTTTACAGGAGTCAGAAGATTAAAAACTAATAATGATAAATGAATAATTACATTTTATCTGAATCACCTTTCTCCTTCGAAACCGTTGTTGGCTAATCTTTCACCATTACTGGACATGTACGGCGCATCTCGCCCACAGAACACTAGCAGCCTAGTCGCGACGGCAGCACTAATTAGGCGCTAAATTCCATTCGTACCACTTGAAACACACCCACCTAGTGGTTGACGGACTACTTGAACTCAGCCCTTTACCGCCTCTGCGCTCTCTAGCGGGTCCCTCTCCTCTCCAAGGCTTAGTCCTAGGGCATTCTCTAATCGTCTGTGCTCTAGCCATCGCGGCAGGACCATTGAGGAAAAATCAAGTAGTCCGTAAACCCCACCTAGTAGCCTAATAGCCTAGTAGCCCAATCGCATGTGTGATGGCGTGTGAACGTTACCTAATTGAGAAATTCATTCGATAGCGGTGGGCTCGTCCGCACACTCGTCAATCAGAAAATTTCCTATGATGACCTTTACCAAAGAATAATGGAATTTTTTTTACCTCTTTTTTCCCAAAAAACATCTTATCCCTCTTTTTCCTTCAAAGGCATGGTTCTTATCCCTCTTTTTCCTTTCAAAGGCATGGTTCTTTGCTGGTGCCTGGGCTGCGTCGCGAAAGGGCCGTAATTATCGCATTTGTGCGATCCAGAGTTGCGATGGGACTTGGTTTCAGATGTTGATTCCAACAAGGCTTCTCGCCTGGAGAGTGATCGAAGTCCTATGCAATCTTCTATTCAAGGGACGGTTGGTTTGTAGTGTTTTCAGAAACAATTAGCTGATTTCACCACGTAATCTGATATGGGTTTCTATTTCAACATTGGGCTGAGTTACAATTTCATCAGCTTGCATTCAATACTTGAGTAGATAGACTGCTGTTACAGGACCATTTTCCCTGGAATCGACTACCGCACGAGTTGCGAATAAAAATTCTGCGCAATCTCCGGCCAAGAGATCTTGACAGCTGTCGTTTGCTAAATCGAGAGACGTCCGAGCTTATTCGTCGTAACAAGCGATTGTTGGAAAGAAGTGTCATTGATCACTTGGTAATAGAAGAATTTGGGCATAACTACAAAAGTTGCAGCAGAAGCTTCAATCTACAAAATGGGTCTTTTATTAGCCATTCAATTATGGGATTCTGAGCGCACTAATCGAAAAAGAATTGATGTTGCAGTGGTGGAGTTTCACCAAAACTCCTGGAGGATGGTACAATCATTGGTACGCAAACCATTTCGAAGAAGTATCAGAGGTTAGCTCAACATCTCTTCTCGTTCATGTACTCAGTTTGAAGGTGCTGTTTGAACTGAATAGTAATCCTGAGATGTCGGTCAGACTCTACGATTGCATCGCGCGATGCAGTCGCTCTGCCTAGAGCGATTGCATCGCGCGATGCAGTCGCTCTTGCAATGTGCACAAGCGACGGGCGATTGGCCCCGCCCACATCGATGCAGTCGACATCGGTATCGATCGCGGCGGGCCATTGCCCGCCGCTTGCACTTTTGGCAGAGCGACTGCATCGCGCGATGCAATCGCAGGGTCTGACCGACATCTGACAAAGCAATCACCGAAGATTTGGCGCTACACTAAAACAACCCCAGTGGAATTGAGATGGTTCAAAAAATGTTTTCGCTGAAACTTCTCCTATGGGGGTTATCGAGGGTCCTGATCACGAATATGACATCCATTTTTGGCGCTGGCGCCAAATTGGCGCCATTGGCGCCAAGCTGTTTTCACCAAATTCGCTGTAAACTTCTGTATAGGGGTTATTTGGGGCCTGATCACGAATATGACATTCGTTTTTGATTCGTGCTGTTTAACGCATATTTTCTGCTTTTCTAAGCTTTCTCACCTATAGCGCCTAAGACTAAGCTTAGGGGAGGGGAGTGAAACTCCGGAGTGGGTAAACCACGCACCGTGTGGCAAAAGTTAAAGTGTATGGGGTCACAGGGCGAGTGGCTGAGAAATTCCGAAGCCCTCCTCTTCCCAAACAGGAGGGATCGAAACGAACCCTTTTAATTTCGTTCACAATTTTTTCTTTCGTTTCAAGTCCTGATAACGAAGTAATTAGTGGGAGGGCCCGACAAGCGGAAAGTATGCGCCATATAGCTCAACGGCAAAAACAAATGTCATATTCGTAATCAGGACCCCAAATAACCCCTATACAGAAGTTTACAGCGAATTTGGTGAAAATCAGTTGTGGCGCCACCTGGCGCCAAATGGCGCCAATTTGGCGCCAGCGCCAAAAATGGATATCATATTCGTGATCAGGACCCTCGACCCCCCATGGAGAAGTTTCAGCGAAAAAATTGCCCAATCTCACCCCAGCTGGGTTTGTAACAGTGCAATAGTGCCAAAGATTTTATTAGTTCCATATAATTTCAGTCTTCTGGGCCACAACTGGAACCTTTCCACAAGTTCAAAAGCCTTGCAGAGATACCCACGAACACAGATGTTAATCACCTGGAGCTCACAGAGGTTGGCAGAGAAGAATAATTATCCGCAGTGGTCTAGCTGAGAGCAATCAGAAGTGTTTTTGTTAGTTGCCGTAGCAAGTAAAGAACAAAAGCTGACATAACACCGTACCAACATAATGTGAATATGAATTTTCTCAGCTCCAAAGTCGTAGAATTTTCGTGGTTTGTAATTTAGGAATGGATGACAAACGAACATCTGATGTCTCTCTCGTCACGTCTGTTCAATGTGGGGTGTCAAGTACATACGCTGGAGATAACAGACACATGCATGGCTGAAGTCACGTCTTCAGTGCTTCTTCAATTTCTTCGCGACATCGCTGCCAAAACAATCATCCTTTCAATCATCGAATGTGATGAAGAAATGCTCAGCATGGACATCATAAAATTCATCATATCGGCACCATGCTTTTGTATCAACTATTTTTCGGACTTATCAAATTTTTCTCTTCCTCTTCCAATAGACGACAAAATTCTTAAGCAAGTAACTGCGCATGACTTCGAAATCGGTTTCCCGAACAAGATCACTCGGCGCGGCTTGAAGTCGTTCATCAGGGTGAGTGTTAAGCACATTAATGGTCAGTTCTTGTCAACGAGTGAATAATTTATCACAGAGCTTGAGCAAAAGGAAGCAAAAGGTACATGGAATAATCTACGCCTGCTTTTCTCTTGAGGAGGTATCATTTCCTAGTTTTCCAAATGTCAAACTTCGCATAGATTTGAATGAAGATACAGTTGAATTTTGGGTCAAGCCTTGCAAGTGTGCACGGTCTTCTAAGAGGAGATGACTTGAAGGCAGCTTTCACGAGGAAGTGAAGGGGAAATCGCACCAGAAAAGGAAATGTGTGCGCTCCTCAATACCCGTGCTGCGTTGAAAGAATTTATTGAGAAAGTTTGAGAGAAAACTTCATTTTTGGAGCTCTTTGGGGGTTACAAGCGATAGGAGGAAGGGGTAGGCACTTGGACGAGGTCTCGCTAATCGATATCATTTGAGTTTTCACCTCATCTTCTGCTTTGGATTTTTACCATCGTTAGTGAGGTGCCTACACTTACCGGTGGAATCGCAGAACTGGACTGTATGCCTTCTACTACCTGTCTGATAAGCGCGGCAGTGTGGCGGTGAGCCTCAAGGGTAAAACACTCGGTTTGAACCCTCATTCCCGTAAGATCGATTAGGCCGCGAAACTTTGGCAGGGTGATTTCTGGAAAGCAAGGCAATGTGGTTCAACTGAGTAGCAAGTTATTGTAAAGTAATCCTCTGCTTAATCTAAAGGTGCCTTCAACAAATCCCAACTGTGCTATGCTCACTGCCTGTAAGGCTTGCCTTGTTGAGAACTACTCTTCCCTAATGCATTGAGTTTATCTCATGACGGTTATAACATGAAGTGTTTTTCGGGTTTATCTTCCATTCGTAGCTTCGATGCCAGGTAGTGCTCTCTCTCGTTCTCCACTTTTTTGCTCGACCAGTGAAAATTGTGATGGCTTAGCCTCCTAGTTAATGTACAGAAGATTTTCAGTGAATAATCAGTTTTTTTTGTCATACTGCTTCATATATGTTGTTCCAAATATTCATAACGTAGTTACCCATTTTCCCTCTTGAAGTTGCTTTTGAGATAGGTAGATTTTGTTCTATTTCAGTTTTATCCAGGAAGATTTCCGCATAAATCACATATTATCAATCAACTACTTTTTTTTGAAATACTAACTATGGTATTTGGAGCTAACTTAGAAGGTGACGGATAACAGGGAAACTAACTATGAGTGAACGCTAAGATGGATGTCAGACTCGGGGCTTGTGCAGTCGCTCCACGCTGTGGCCGTATGGTGAGCAGTGGCCGAGTGGAGTGTCATTATTATTCCGTCTGGTTAGCATTGGGCGTGCGGGAGAAGTTCGAGCGTTGTGCTATCTCGAACGTTGCACCAGCGAATCGAACTTTGCGCCAGCGAATCGACCGATGCACCAGCGAGTCGAACGATGTACCAGCGACTCGACACTGTTTGAAAGTGGCGGGACCCAACGTTCAAAGGAAGTCCACTTCAAAGGACCACACTGTTTGAAAGGCGGGCTTTCCTTTGGGTCCCGCCAAAGTGTTGAGTCGCTGGTACATAGTTCGACTCGCTGGTGCATCGTCGATTCGCTGGCGCAAAGTTCGATTCGCTGGCGCAACGCTCGGATCCAGCGATTCGCAAACTATGACGACGGCCTAAGGGTGCTGCGATGGCTACTACAGTCAGCACCTTTCTTGCAGTGATCCGAGGAGAGAGGTCGTAATTAACTCGAAATTTGCCCGACGATTGTTGGCTCATACAGTTGGATAGCTTCTTCCGTGAAAACGTTAAACGTCCAATCCTTC